TCTTTATAGCTGAGTAATATTCCATTGTATAAAAATGCCACAATTTTTTTTATCCAGTCCTCAGTGGATGGACACTTGGGTTGCTTCCACGATTTAGCTATTACAAATTGTGCTGTTATAAACATGGGTGCACATATACCCTTGAACTTAGCTTCTATCGGTAACCAACTTCTGAAAGACACAAGGACTTGAAGCTCTCACTTCTGTGATGGCTGCAGAGTGGAGGGGATTTTGAGACCCGGAGAACGCTCTGATAGCTGCTGGAATTGAAGATTCCCCAAGAATACTGCAAATATGATGTAGCGGGGGTGGGGGGAAATGACAAGCTAAACTATTCTTTCTTGTTTTCTTTTACTGTAAAGTTGTCTTTGTAAATGCTAGTTGTAACAAAGTAGCCTTTCAAAGTATCTGTGCTCCAGGTGTTACCACAGTGGCCAATGGGTTGCAACATTTAATTTCTAAAGTCTACTTCAACAGTTGTTTATCTTGCTTGGAGGCCAGTTGCCCGAGTAATAATTTAAATGGACATACCCATTTTCTGAAAGGATAAATATTTTTTAAGTTTATCATTAGTCTGGAGAGGTTTGAAAACTTATCTCTTTGCTCCTCTCACATAAAAGTGTGTTTTCCAGTATCTATTATTGCAAAATAAGATACCCAGAAACTGTGTGGCTTATGCCTTTGGTTGCTCTCGGTTTTGCGGGTCAGGGAGTTGGGAAGGACAAGGCTGGGTGTCTTGTCTGATCCCTATGGCGTGGGCTGGAGCAGCTGTGGGTGGGAAGATCGCTTTCCAAGATAACTTCTCTGTCATGTGCCTCAGTGTCACTGGCCTCTCTTTTTCCCTATGATGTGTCTTCCAGGGCTTCTCCTTCATGTTGCATGGGCTCCTTCCAGAAAGGTCATCTCAGTGTTATTGCTCTTACAGGGCAGCTGGCTTCCACAAAGCAGGAAGTGGAAGCTGCCAGGCTATTTCAGAGCCACAGCGGGAACTGGCATCGTGTCACCGCCACATTGCAGTACTCAAAGCAGCCACAAGCTCTTCCTAGACTCAAGAGGAAAAGAAACAAATTCCACTTTTGATGAGATGTGAAGGTCACATTGTAGAACAAGAGCTTGTGAGCTGGGAGATACTATTTGCACCATGATAGGAAAATAGAATCTTCCAGAAGATGATAAACAATGGCTCTGGGAAAAAATGTGTAGCTGTGGAGATTGTCAGGTCAAATGGCTCCTTTAGACTTCGGGGAAGAGCTATAGAAGGCTTCCAAGAGGGGTGGGGGAGCCATAGAAGCTAAGAGCTGAAAGATGAATAGGGGTAGTCCAGATCCAAGAGAAAGAAAGAAAATTCCAGGCAAAGGCACAGCAAACCAATCACAAGGAGCAAGCACAATTCAGAGCCTTAAAGTTCTGCATGGTGGGAAGGGATGGGGCGTGCCTGTGTTTGTGTGTGTGTGTGTGTTCAGCAAGGTATTTGTTAAGCAAGCTATTTAGGATGAGGCCAGTTCAAACATATCACAGAACTTTCTATGGAGAGTAATAAAAACGCACTAAAGATTTTAGGCAATTGTTACTCCATTTGCCTACACTCTAGAGAATGGATAGGCCAACGGCAAGCTTGGAGGAGGGAAGAGTGGAGCTGCTATTGGAAAAGATGGACAGAATGGGAAAGACTGGGTGTATTGAGAGATATTAGGAATCAGGATCCACAGTGTTTCAAGGTGAAAGAGCAAGAGGGGAGAGCCTGCGATTATGGCTCAGGCAATTGACTGAATGTTGAGTTTTCTGCTAGGAAATCTTCTTCTAAGGACTGCAAGGTGCTGGACAGTGTTCATACTTCTGGTTTACTTGAAGGCGGTTGCATAAGCAATTATATTGTGTTAAGCAATAATACTTTATTATTCCATGGTACTTTTGTTTATTATTTATTTATTCATTTATTATTATTATTATTTGGTGGTGGTGCTGGGGATTGAACCCAGGGCCTTATGTGTGGAAGGCAAGAACTGTACCACTGAGTCATATTGCCAGCACCTTCTTTGGCACTTTTAATGTTGACATATATTATCTCATTTAGCCTTGCATCACCTAAGTCAGGTGGGGAGTCTGAGCCCCAGTTGTATATAGGGAATCCAAGGAAAAGTCTTTGTTCCTCTACTAATTTATTTTTTTTTTAGAACAAGATCCTATAAACTGAGCCTGAATCAAAAGGACATGCAACCCATTCCCCATTTTTGTACAGTCTGAGTGCCAAGAATGGTTTTTACAGTTTTAAGTGATTGAAATAAAAAGATTGAAAGAATAGCATTTTGTGACAAGCGAAAATTATACAAATTCAAAATTATATGACTCCTATGAATTTGGACTTCAGTGTCCATGATGACAGATTTATTGAAATATAATTGCATCCATTTATTTATGTCTGCTTTCTTGCTGCAAAGGTAAACTGGAGCAGGTCCCCACAGAAAATCTCTGTAACCTGCAAAATCAAAAATATTTACTTTCTGGTCCTTAAAGATGCAGTTTGCCCACCTTGTTTTAGATGCACCACTTTTCTTCCTTACTCCAAAGCGGGCCCCTTCGGGTGTTTACAGCACAAGCGGCACAGCCCTGTCTGCACCTCTAATTCATAAGCCCAGCACTAAACCAGGTCGCCTCACATCGGCCCGACACCTTATCTCCCAGGGCCAAGTCTCCAGTTCCCCGTCATGGTATCCCATCATTGACCCAGCTCATTTGTTTATTTTTGGCACTGGGGATGGAACCCAGGGCCTTCACACTGAGCTACATACATCCCCAGGCTTTTGATTTTTGAGATAAGGTTTTCCTAAGTTGCCCAGGCAGGACTCGAACTTGTGACCTTCCAGCTGTAGCCTTCTAAAGTGCTGGAATTACCAGCATGTGTCACCCAGGTAACAGCCAAGCTCTTGGCCAACTGTCTCCCCACTACAGTCTGTATGCCTTCTCTTTCAGCAGAAACAGAAACGTCTTGGCTCTTGCCTCAGTCTCATCCCCGACTCCACGACAGCAGAAAGACTTACTTGTGCAGGGCACAGCTGTGCAGTGCCCAGGATGCGGTTCATCTAACTCTCACTGCGGCCCTACGAGGTTGGTACTGCCTTATGTTCCTTGCCATCCTCATTTCACCCAGGAGGAATCAGAGGCCCAGAGAGGCTGAACCACCTGCCTAAGGTCACATCAAGTGATGCCTGCAAAGAGTGCAATAAGCATTGGAATCGTGCAACCCGGCTCAGCGGGATGAGCGACAAGTAGACTCCAGTTAGACTGGTTACCGGCAAAGTTGAACTGGGAGGCGATTATAGTCAGACAACCTGCCTGGCCCCTGCACCCTTTTCGGGGCTCAGCGCGCCCCCTAGTGGCCGGGGAGCGCATCTCCTTTACGCAGCGCGGGAGGAGCGACAGGCTGAGGGGGCAGCAGGGCTGATCAGGGAGAGGTGCGGAGCGTGGCCAGAGGATCGGTGCCAAGGGTAAATAGGGTGTCGCCTCTGCCCAATGCCCCTCTTCCCCTCCCCCAAGACGCAGGGACTCCCGCTTCCCTGAGGCCGGGCGCAGAGAAGTGCTGAGTCACGGTGAGGCACCCGCGCCCTCCAAACCGGCTCTCCCCGCGCTCGGAGCCTACTCCCTGCACCCCTGCCGCTGCAGAGGCGCCAGGTGCCACCGCAGCCCTCTTCTAGGCCGCAGCCACCGCAGCGTGAGTGCCCGGGGCCCGCGTCGGGGCGGGCTGGGTGGGTGATGCTGGCGATCAGTTTGCAAGGTCCTGCCTTCCCCCAGCCCGCTGCAGAATCGTAGGGGAGATGGCAAGAGATGCTTAAATTCCGCTGAGGTTTGGTGAAAGTGGTAGGTGGCTTTTACTTCTGCAGCACAGAAGTCTGATAAATACCCGATCAGTTGTTCATATGCTTAGAACTTAGTTGTGGGAGTCTGGAAGGACCCAGAATAGTCTTGCTGGGGGTAAAAATACTTCCTAGCTGCTTGTGTGTGGATGGTGACAGGTCGGTACTACACACTTCTCTGCCGCATGTTCCATTACCCAATAAATTTAAATTGATCATTATCCATTCTGAGAGGATACGTTTTAGGACAGGCCTTGGCTGACTGCAGAGTATTATTGCTAGGTGGATACTCTCTGAATAACAGCAGCTAATATTCTCATAGCACTAGCTGCACCCCTTTGAGGTAGGCACTTTGTACTCCCAGTTACACATGGGGAAACCGAGGCACAGAGGGTCCCAAGTCAGAGGACTGGTTGATATGTGCTGAAGCCGGGATGCAGTCCCTGGACGTTTGGCTCTAGAATCCACTTCTTGCCAAAGCACTTCTGGTTTCAGTAGGAGTCTGTGAAGGCACTGGTTATATTTCCCTTGCGGAAATGATCGGAGGAGTTGGGGTTACTGTCTGCAAGCACTTGAAGTGGACATCAGTCCGTTATATCTGTGTTGTGATAATCCACTGGGGAGAATTTAGACCCTTCGCAGAGGAAGCATTTCTGCATGTGCAACCCTGGGTCCAGGCAGGTCCTGAGGTACGGATGCATTGCCAAAGGCAGCACATCTGTGAGTTGCCTCGCTTTAGAAAATCTCACAAGAAAACTCAAAGATTTCTTGCCTAAAGTGTTGGCCCTGAACTTGTGGGATAGATGGGTCTTGAAAATTCCTTTCAGTGCCAAGATCTTTAGCATGTTCTGGTGACAGTCACAGACTGTGTGGTTTGTTGTGTTCCCTATGTTGTCACACAAACCCTCCCTCCAGTCTGTCACCCTGCCTTATGGGGTGGCACTGGGGAAGGTCCAATGAGGCAAAGCAGACGAAGCCTCATTAGAGGTACTTAGTAAGTGCCCAAGAGAGCTGCTACTGCTAACCCTTGTTCAAGACGCCAGTAGGATTATGTAAGGTAATTGTAAATAGTTAGTGGAGTACGAGGCTCTGGGAGTATGAGTGTACATGTTCACCATCATCATTGTTGTTTTAAGCACTTAATCCAGGCCTGTCCATAACAAGTACCCAATAATTCGAGCTGTTACTATACTGAACAAATCTAACTCTAATATCCTTTATTTTGTGGTCTTCGGATGGCTCTTCCTTATGAGTTCTGTTTTGTTGTTCCTCCAACTGCTCTTCCTCCTCTACAGCTCAGCATCAGAAGACTCTCTTACAGACCTCGACATGGGCTCCTCGAAGAAGGTTACTCTCTCGGTGCTCAGCCGGGAGCAGTCGGAAGGGGTTGGAGCACGGGTCCGCAGAAGCATCGGCAGACCCGAGGTATGCTGGTTGGGCAGTCACTCCTCGTTTGCTCTCAGAAGTGATCAGTAGGATACTGAGGATGATTTGGGAAGAGAGGGCCACAGTGGTCATGAGTTGCCCTCTGGGGTGACATTGGTGCAGATTAAGCTCCATGGTTGGGTCCCATGCAGACTGGTCCCGGCCCAAAGGAGATTTGTGGAATGTGGATACAGGCTCTCGGCAGCAGGTGGCCCTGAGCTCCTGGAAGTCTCTGCTTCTCACTGGACACCCATGCCCTGCTCTGGGCTGACTGGCTACCTGCCTCAGCATGCACTACACCAAACATGTGTCCCCCACAGTCCCCCAGTTTATATGCCTGCTGTTCAAATCACCAGGGAGTAACACCACTTTTCAGTTCCAAATTCCTAAGAGAAAATCTGGTTGGCTTGTGCTTTAGCTACTTTCTTGCCCATGGTGACAAAGTACCTGACATCCCACAATTTAAAGGAGAGGTTTATTTTGGCTCATGTACTGAGTCCATGGTGGGCTGGCTCCAAGGCAAGAATTGGCAGGGCAAAGTGGGGCCTGGTGGAGGAGAGCTGCTCTAGTCATGGTGGCCAGGAAGCAGACTGTGAGGGAGGAGCCAGGCAGGGAGATAACGCTTCTAGGCCACGCCCCCAGTGACTCACTTCTTCTCACCAGATCCCATCTCCCAACAGCATGTCTGCTATAAGCCCCTGTGGTTCAAGAACCTTCCAAAAGCCTGACCTATGAGCACTAGAGGCTCTCGGGGGATATCTAGCTATAAACCGTAACAACATCGCAGGAGTCGGGGATCCCTTCCTGGCCAGTCACACGTCAGGGATTTGGATTCACAGAGAGACTGCTGCCATGCACCTTTGTAGATGCCTTGTGAGGGGCAGGTATTGATGGTGACTCAGAGAATGTGACCGTTGGTTAGGTAGATGTTTATTAAGAGTAGGGAATCTTTTCATTTGAATGGAACTTGGAATGCATGGGGAAAATTTCTTATATGTACAGAAAAGCATCAAATAGAGATCGTGGCCAATGGATATAGTCCCCAGTGCCATACCAAATTCCAATGTTTTTAATAAGAGAAAAAATACGTTAGGCAATGGATTCCAGTTTGAAAAGTAAGGGGTTTGCCAGTTCTCTTAAACCTCACTCAGATATTTTCATACTACTTAGTTGCTAGACCTAAGCTTTATACCACTCGTTACACAAGGGTTACTTTCTCTACTTTTTAATAAAAAGTATATTTGAGGCATGTTCATAGCATTTTAAAAAACTCCTAGTTTCTCTCAATGAGTCTTTCTCTACCTTGTTGATGGATTTGGTTTTTTAAAACCTATTTTTTGATTTGACAAAAAGTGTATAGATTTATGGTGTATAATATACTTTGGTTTATGTATATACTATAGAATGACCAGGGCAAATTAATTAACATGTGCATTATCTCACATAATAATCTTTTAGCACTGTGAGAACCCTTAAAATCTACAGTCTTAGCAATTGTGAGCTGTAGAATACATTGTCATGAGCTAAAGTCGCCATGTTGTGTGGTAGATCTCTCAGTCTTACTCCACATGCCTGACTGAAATTTTGTGCCCATTCCAGCCGCTGGTGCTCACCATTCTTCCCGTGTCTACTTGTTTACATTCCACATAGGAGCAAGATCATGCAGGCTTTGTTTTTCTGTGCCTGGCTTCTTTCCCCGAGCATGATGTTGACTGGCCTAGAAGGTAGGGATGAACCAGCCCAGCTCTCCTTTAGCCCTATAAGGCTTCCTTGGCTGTGCCTTTGCCTGTCTCTTTCCAACATTCACTTCCCAATTACTCACAAATACCTTCTTAGGTCCACCAAATATTGTTGGTCCACCAAATACTTAGGTCCACCAAAGGGATGCAAACAAACAGGTTTATACTAATGGGGAAATGCACAGGGGCAGATGGAGGTGGTGTCATATTCTCCTAGGCTCCACCATGAGCAGAACAAGTGGAAAGAATTCTAAGACTCCAAAGACATCTGTCAGTGAACCATTCTTGTGTGTTGAGGGGAGCTAACACTCTAATTAGTCCATCAGCCAGGAGCATATCCACCGCGGGTTTCTTCATTTTTTTGTCCTGTGAACCCTGTAGGCAGTCTGCTGAAACCTATCAATTCTTCACAAAATGGTGTTATTAAATATGTAAAATGCACAGGATAACCAAGGACAACTTTTATACTACAATATGGCTAAAAGATTGTTAAATAATTGTGTAATCTAGTAACTTTATGTTAAATAACAAGATTTGGTGGCAGTTCTAACATCAGTCTAATTTCAAAGCTGGGAGGAGCATGAAGGATACTTCAATATACTTACTCACAACTGTAATGTGAGGAAAAAATACTCTGCATTCTGTTGGTGTCAGAGTCACAGGTACTGGTAATTTACTGCAGTTCATTAAGTACATTCGCAATTAAATAAAATATTAAATTTTGGTCTGGTAATGGAGATGGTTGTATAACAACGTGCATACTTAATGCTGCAAACTGTATACTTTAAATGATTACAATACTAAATTTTATTTTATGTATATTTTACCACAATAAAGGGTTCAGAAAACTTTCTTCAGAGGATAATAAAATAAAAATGTATTTTTTTTGAAACAGGGTCTCGCTGTGTAGTTCAGGCTGACCTTGAACTCACTGTGTAGCCCACGCTGGCCTCAAACTCACGGTGATCTTCCTGCCTCAGCCTCCTGAGTGCTGGGATTACAAACGTGAGCCACCATGCCCAGCAAGATGTAAAATTTTTTTATAATCCAAGTTTTCAACATCCTTGAATTCTGTCCCATGGTCCTAGATAAGACTCTTGAGCTGAAAATCTAGGCTTTAAGAAATGGTCATATTCTAATTCCGGTCTCCTGTATCCCAGGTCTGCCTCCACCCTAAGGAAAACTACATGGATAGGAATAATTCCTCATCTCCTCAGCTTGGCAATTAAGACAGAGAGTATTTGCTGTGGTTTCCATATCACTGTATATTTTACATCATGGGGATTATGTAACATAAACAATTTTGTGTTTTGGTTTTTTCATTTAACATAGGAGACAAGGTTTTCCCACAAATGAAGGCATTTGTCCAACGTCAGTGAGGTTACTTTTGAAACTCTGCACCAAGGTTTATGTCCCTGAAGAAATACTTCCTAAACTTCAGACCCAAGGCCATTTTAACACATAGAATTTACAACAGTGCTCAGTGTTGGCAGTGACAAATGATATTCTCCCTAACTTTGCAAATGTGGAGATGGAAGAGGAATTTACAGTGCTTTCACTGAACCTTTGTATGATCTACAATAAAGAAGAGATGGGTTGGAAGTGGTTCACACCTTGCAGTACAGTTGTACATGGGCAAGCCAGCCAGACCAGACTTTCAATGGCCGGGTACCTTAGTGTTAGTGCTTGGTTCCTCTGGGCTTCCCACAGGACCAAAACCCCCTACTCAGCTGCACGCACTTGTCACTGCCCCACTCCTCCTTCTCCCAGACACTTCTCAGTGAGTGGAATGCACTTTTGGGCTGCTCTTATTTGTCTTTGATTTAAATGAATAATTTTCAAGTAAAGTAGAGAAAGTAATATCATGACTGTCCATGTTCCTGGCATTGGCAATGATCAGTTCACAAGGCCTCTTGTTTCATCACTATCCTCATCCATTTCTCCCATTAAAGTATTTTGAAGAGAATCCTAGCCATCATTTCATTTATAAATATCAGTCTATCTCTAAAAAATAAGAAAATTTAAAAATAGATGTACAAGTACAGTCGTATTAACACTTAGAAATTAAAATGATTTCTTATGTCATCCAATTGCCCTGACTAATCTTGGTCTTCACTGTTGTAACCCCTATAGACAGTGTTCTCCAGTATCAAGGTCTCCGGATATTGGGTCAAGGTAGATGGTCTGGGCAGCGGTGGCAAACCTGTGGCACGCATGCTGCAGCAGGTTGTTTGTATCATTTGAAAGCTCTAACGGGTTCGCCATCACTGGTCTGGAATCACAGCTCAAGACAGTTCAAAGCCTATCTTGAATCTCTATCTCAGTAGGATCTCTATCTCAGTTGGGATATGTGCTGGCAATTCCTGCTACCTTATCATTTTTACTCTCAGGGCTCAGTTTAGAGGGAAAGTAAGCCGAAGAGGTAGTCTGAGCTAGTGGACTCTACCTTGAAGGGACTGTCTCTTTTACTGCCATATTGTCTTGATATAGGCAGCTTCCACAGGTATTATTGCCTTTATGTCAGTTAGGATTAGGTTCGGCTGTGTGTAACGGAAAGCAACCTCCCAAACCAAGGGACAACATAAGTGTTTGTTTGTCTTCTGTAAAGCCCCAAAACAGGCAGTGCAGAGGGCTTGAAGGCTCTGCTCTTAGCAAAGGTCCATGTTCATGCTGTTTTAAGTCATAATTCTCCCTACATTCCCAGTGCATCACCTAGGTCAATGACGGCTATTGAGGCAATAGCAACCATGTGTCCTCTGGCACAGAAAGGAGGAACAAGAGAAAGACGAAAGGAAACACATTAGCTATCCACCTTCCTTTTGTAAAGAAATTATCCTAAAAGTCCCATCCTATAGCTTCTCCTTATAACCATATTTAATCACAGGATCTCATCTAGCTAAAGAGAGGCTAGAGAATCTAACGCGAGTACCTCCCAGGATGTTTGTGGGATACCTTTTGTACACAGAATGAATTAGTCTAGATTCAACAGAGCATCATAAAAAAACACAGTGTGAGTCCTGTCCCCAAGGAACTGCCATTCTAGTTAGGGACTTCCAATTATTCCTGATTTAAATAATAGACCAGGCTGCTGGAGCTTTATCATGGGCGTGCCACATGCCTGAGGGGTGGTGGCCATCAGTTGGATTGGCCTTCTCAAGAGATCAAAGTAAATAACTTGTGACCTGCTACTCATTTGGCAGCTGAAGGATTTGGACGTGTTTGAAGCAAAGGAAAAAGTAAAAGATCGGTTTAATATGTAGA